CCCCAAAACCCCAAAACCCCAAAACCCCAAAACCCCAGGAGATGACTTCTGTTGAACAAATTTATTTTCACCTAAATGTCAAAAGTCGTAATTGAAGTTAAGACAGCAAGGCTGTCCAGAGATACAGATACATGGAGCAAGATGGACCCCTACGTGGTCCTTATTAGCGGGAGTGAGAAAAAGAAGACTAAAACTCATAATAAGGGTGGGAAGAACCCAATGTGGAATGAATCCTTGACCTTGAAATATGTTGACACCAATATGACCATCCAGGTTTGGGATGAGGATATTACATCAGATGATTTAGTAGGTGGAGGAGTAATTGACCTTGAAGCCGCAGCAAGACTTGGAGGGCTGAAAGACTGGATAACTATCCAATATAAGGGAAAAGAAGTAGGCCAGATTTATGTTGAAATTTCATTTACTACTCCTACTGCCACAGCGCCAGCAAGTGCTTATGCAGCATATACTCCCGCTACAACTCCTCCTTCAACTCATTATGCAGCTCCTACTGCTCCATACCCCCCTACCGGGTATCCTGCTACTTCTCCAGGAGTTTATGCTCCTGCACCTGCTCCAATACCAGCATATCCTGCTGGAGGTTACTCTACGCCTTCTTATACACCGAGTGCAGCAACACATGGACCCTCACCATCAGCACCGGCTGGTGGGATGCAACATGCTCCTCCAGCTGGAGCTGCTTATGCACCAGCTCCTGGGGCTTATCCAGCCCCTGGCCCAGCACCTACACATCCACCAGGTTCTTATCCACCAGGGAGCTGGTAAACTTATCAGAAATTTCGGATTTGAAATATGCTAAATTTGGCTTAAAAGTTCTTTAAAGATGGTTTTAACAGATTTTAAGGGTTCATTGTTGAATTTGGAACAGAATAAGGTATTCTAGCTTCCTTAGTTATCAGAATCAAATTAATTTTGAAAATGTCCATTTGTATTGGGAATATAGAAGGATTCAATCAAAATTGGCTCTATTGGGGTTTTGGGGTTTTGGGGTTTTGGGGTTTTGGGGTTTTGGGGTTTTGGGG